TAAGAACAAAGAAAAAAACTGAAGGAACAAAACAGCAGCAGAATCACAGAACCCAAGAAGGGAGTAACAGTTACCAAAGGAATGGGACTGGGGAGAATGGGAGGGTAGGGAGGGATAAGGGCGGGGAAGAAGAAAGTGGGTATTATGATTAGAATGTATAATGTGGGGGTGGGGGAAAGGGGAGGGCTTTGCAACACAGAGAAGACAAGTAGTGATTCTACATCTTACTATGCTGATGGACAGTGACTGTAATGGGGTTTGTGGGGGGGACTTGGGGTAGGGGAGAGCCTAGTAAACATAAATAAAACTAACTAACTAACTAAATAGATAAATAAATAAATAGTAAGCATGCGGGTAAATCTCAATGAATTTTGACTGGATAAAACAGTAACACCGTCTTGTGCAATTTAAAATGTACGTAATAATGGGAGGACATGACGTGTCAGGAGTGGTGGCATGGGGGCCGGTCTGGACAGACGGCTTTCCCATCTCCTAGGGAAGGAAGCAAAGCAACCCCATGTCCAGGAGAAACGTTTGGCCTAGGGATTCTGGTCACGGCTATACCGACATCAACGCTGCTCGCAAACTTCCCGGTTCCTCCCTTTTCAGAGGTACATGGAAAGACTGCACTTTCACAGATTTTCTGGGATTAGGTGGTCACATGACTTTCCCTGGACCATGAAATGAGGGCAGAAATGAAGGGTGTCACTGCTGGGGGAGCACAGAACCACAGGCACCCTTCCTTCCACACCCACCACCCTGCAGGCATCCCATCAGCTGGCCGAGGAAGGACACCTGGGGCAGACTCTCCTGCCCTCGGCTGACCCAGACTGTAGCGTAAAAACACTGGGGTTTTGGGATTGCTGCCCTGCTCCCCGCTCCCCACTCCCCACCCCTCCTGGTAAAGCTGGGCTCCCACCAGCCTCTTCTCTCACACTTCCATGTGGTGGCTGAGTATCGACCCTCACAATCAGTGAAGGGAGAGCAAGAAAGTGACAGAGGACATGCCCCACTCCCTGGCAGAGGGGCACGGAGCCACAGTCCTGATGTAGACTCACCTTCATGCATGGGCATCAGGGCCAAGCTCAGGGCACTCACATGTTACCCTTACTGTCCTGTGCCACTTACAGCCTTGTGTGAACATCCACAACTGAGACCATCTTGTTACGTCATTCCTGTTACATATGAACAAAGGGTCTGCAAAGACTCCCAAGTCCTGAGCAATTGGTGACATGCAGAAAATGTCCAGCAGCCGTGTGGCCCAGGGCCTGCAGGGGCACCTGCAGCTTGGGGACAACTGGCGTTCTTGACAGCAGCATGGGGGGAAACGCATTAACACACGCATGTTCTCACATGACAGATGCCACAAGTCTACCAGGTTCCCATCTTGACAAGAGTTTTGAGTCTTGTCTCATTTAAATTACATCTAAAACTAAAGATTTCAAGAAATAGCTGCATGAGCACATAACTCAGAAATATGGAGTCAGATGAGGAAAGGGAGACTTCGCAGAAGAAAAAGTGAGCTTGGGGTGGGGCTGAGACCATGGACACTTTGCAGAGTTATTTCACTTTTTAAAGTACTTAAACTTAAAGGAAAATTTTCTATTAAGGGAAAAACAAACAGTAAGAAAGAGCCTGGTGTTTATGCCAAGGGGTCCATCAGAGTCACCACGGCCATGCTTCAGGATGACCTCCAGGGAGTTACAAGGAGGGGCAAGGAGGACAGAGGTGGGGAAGGGCCCACCGGGAAGCAGGCAGCAGAGCCGGCTGACCCCCAACCGGGCAGGGCTTCCTGCTGACCACGGCCAGAAGCCAGTGGGCCTGAGAGCAGAAGTGCCGTACAGGAGGCACTGATGCACCCCTGCCATGCCCCCTTACCGCAGCCTCCTGGTGCAGAGCAGAAGGGCAGGGGGCACACTGGGGTGAGGAAAAGCACCACCCCCACAGCAGACCTCAGACCCGAGCACCTAGGTGGGAGGAAGATACCGTGATGGCGGCCAGGCTGCCTTAAGTCTCTGGACTAAACAATGTAGCTCCTGCCAGTCAGCTCAGCAGGGACAAGCGTGATGGGACAGGAAGCATAGGCTTGGGGGACCAGCTGCCATGACTCAGGTCTTTCCAAACGCCCCACCAGCAGCAGCTATGTAAGCAGTGAAGCCTGCCCCCATCATCCACTCGTGTGGCAGATGTGGCTTCCCAGGCACTGCGCACTGTCGGGGCACCACGTGGCACAGGCTCTGTGCAGAGTGGCCGAGGAGCAGCTGGAAAGCACACCGTCTTTCTGCATCGTTTCCTTCTAAATAAGGGACCTCTCCCGAGCCCCTGAACAGATTTTGGTGAGTGGATGGGGCACCACACAGCCAAGGGCTCTGGTGCGTCACGATGCATCTGAGCGGCAGCCACCCTCAGCTAGGAGAGAGCGGAGCAACCACCTGTGGGTGTGGGTTTGCGCCTGCTGCCTGAGTGGATTTTCCAGCAGCATCTCCAAACAGGATCCAGGGTGACCCTGAGGACACGCACCTTGAGATACAAAGGCCCACGGGTCAGGCAGGAGGCGCTGGGCACGGGCCTCGTCTCCACACACAGCAAGAGGACCATAGCCAAAGCAGACACATGACGCTCACTGAGTAGACGCTCACTGAGTGTCCCCTAAACTTGTCACTTGTCGTGCAAGCAAAAGTGAGGCCCCTGGAGCAGTGCTGGCCCATAGACACAGCCCCCTGATGCCGGGCTGGCTGCTCCCCGGGTGCTATGTGCAGGATCCACACTATGTCTGTGCTTCCCTCCTTAGCTCGTGAAGAGAGTCACAAGAAATAAAACCTGCTCTGAAGGCACCTTAAGGAACCTGTGTCCTGCCCACTGGTAACTGACCACCGTAGACACACGGGGGCCCAGTGGCTCACCAGGACTGGCTGCATCTGCAGGGACCGCGTGCAGCTGTCCTCCTGCCACCCCGTCCCCCCCACCACAGTGGCACCGGTGCTCCATGCATCTGCGAGCCGTGAAGGAGGACGGTGGCCCCCAGTGCCAGCTGACTGTATCTGGGGACATCCTGCTTCCATCACAAGTGGCTACTGGCTCCTCGTCTGGGTGGCACCTCTGCCGCACAGTTCACCCCAATTCCCTCACTGCTCTCGCCCCCTTCTGCTGCTGAATCACTTCTCCTTGCACTGCACACGCATCTCTGGGAACAGCAGCATGGCACTGTTGTTTGCTTTGAAACAGCAGGTGCTGTGGGTTCCCAGCAGCAGAGGTAACACACATACTGGCCTGCTGACAACAGTGCTTTTCTAACTGACCCCAGGAGCCTGTGACCCCGTAACTCGCCCCACTTCTGGGTGGAGGAAGTGCTCTCCTGTGTGTTGTGACTCAAAGACGCAGTGCAATCCTAGGGGACAGCCCACCGCCAGGCCACTGTGCCAGTGAAGCCAGGCCTTGGCCACATCCACAAGCCCAGAGGTCCTGCCCACATGGCCTCACAGTACCCACTGCCCCAGGGGACCAGCACATGTCAGCCTGGTAGCTACTTGGAGCCCCCCGAGGCCCTCCCTCAGGCCTGGACTGACCCCTCCCTGGGACACCACTCACCATACTGTTCCCCAACAGAGGAATGACATGCCAGACCTGCACGAGTCACCACTGCCATCTGGGGCTGGAGGGTAACTGAGGACAAGCGAGGCACAGAGGTGGGTGCCTGGCAGTGAGCTGCCCCCAGGTCTGAGTGCAGGGAGTGTCTGGACACTCACAGAGCCCACCTCTGCAGCTGCTCAAAGGAGCTGCACACTCTCGTGGCCTTAATAAAACCAGAGTCCCACTCAAACAGGACTGCAGCAGAGGTAAGGGGCCAGCAGTTCCTGTGGGAAGATGACTTGGGGCCAAGCACTAAGGCATACAGGAAGAGACCACAGATGAACAGTGAGAGCTGGTGGGGGGAATGTTCTAGAAGCAAGGGGATGTGCATTCCAGGAAGGAAAGAAACCAGCACATGTGCCAAAGGACCTGAAGGGCAGGGTGGGGGGATTGCTTGACGCCCTGGGAGCAAGGACCAGGCCTCGTTCCTGGACAAGCGGCACACACGTTTCGTGGCTGCCCAGGCCCAGCACACCAAGGGCCGGCCATTCGCATCAGGGCCTTGACCCCCACCTGTCCTCTCCCCTCACAAGAGGACTTCCCAGTAGGTTTAGCTGACAAGGCTTCAGGAAATCAAGAGATTTCCATGTTGACGCCATCTTCATTGCATGCAAACACTCAAGTATAACCTGAGAAACTGTTTTTGCTCTACACTTGGATTTGACTTAAATACCCTCCTGAGAGGGAGGGTGGTGACATCTGTTGGCTTTCCTTGACTTTCTGTTCCCCTCCTGAAAGACAGCTGCACCTCTACTCACCGTCCCACCCAGCCACCACTGACCCCCTGGCTACAAACGCTCCAAACCCACGGGAGCAGAAAATCAGGGCCTTGGGAATGCACACAGGAGCCGAGTGGCCCGAGCAGGCAGTGCCAGGGATCAGCGTGTGGGGGCCAGGCATGCGGCAGCATGGTTCTGCCGGACAGCCACCCCACCGCCTGTCCCCATGGAGGGACCACTCAGGGGACTTCACAGAGTTGGGGAGAGCGCCATGCCCTCCTGACACCTGTCTTCCCTCACGGAGGGAGCAAAGGGTCACGACCCACACATGCACCCTTCTGACGCTCAGACCTACCTGCTTGTCTCATGAGTTCCCCTCCCAGACCCCTGAAAGTTGAAGAAAAAATTCATTATTATATAAAACAACACAACACATCCTCACCAAGTAAGATGTAGCTTCAAGTTCCAGAAAATATTAAGCCATTAATCAGCTGCATTAACTGTAAGTATGAGCTATTCTTTACGAAAAGGAACTAAAAACATGGGCAGTACCCAGATGCTGCTCTGACTTCCAACATTTACCAGACACTGTAACCCTTACTAGCCACAAGGCACAAGCCCACAGAACAAACCGAAATGCTGCTCAGCTATTACTTTGTGAAAACCAGAAGGGCTTCAGGCACCAGAAAGACACGCTGTATGGCCCAGGGGGGCACACACTAGCTTCCGCCATGAGCAAAACCAAGGAGAAATCAGGTGTGTGGCGCAGACACCCGCGTGCACCGGACGCTGGCAACAGGGAGCTGGTGTTGTGAGCTTAAACGCTCCGATGAGAAGACAGAGAATCAGCTTTGGTGGCTGGCTTCTGGCCCACGCAGAGTGACAGGAGAGCTCTGCATGTGCCCTCCTGCCTGAACAATCAGGAGCCCGGAAGACCCTTAGGAAACAAAGGCTCAGACCCTAGAAGGCAAATGTCTCAAGCGCAGGGGAGCGAACAGCCTGGCTGGCCCCAGACCCGAGGGCATCCCAGGGCACAGAGCGGGTGGGCCGCCAGGAGCCGCCCACCCTCCTCACTTGAGAAGGTGGAGAAGGAAGGTGTGGAGACCAGGGCACTGGGATTTGAGGGGCTGGGGGCGGCAGCGATGGCTGCGCTCTGAACCTGCCAGAAGAGGACAGACACGCCTAGATGGGAGGGGGAGGCAGGGCCCAGCCATCTCGCTGCGTCAGTGGAGTCCTCGGGAGGCTGCCCCGGTGGCCAGCGAGCTTGTCTAGGATGCAACCTAGACACAAGGATGCAACCAACCACAGCTGATTTGATGGCCTCCAGAAAGCTGCAGCCAGCACTGAAGCGAAACCTAACAACTAAAACCTCACAGAGCTGATGTCCAACCGAGAATAACCAGGGAGACACGACCCACAACTGCAAGAAAACCAACTAATACAACTGCACCGAAAACTGCCAAGACAGTCAGCTGGTAGTCCTCAAAGCAGCTGTCTGCTTCCCACGTGTGCAGGAAGGCAGGAGCCCAGCAGGAGAGCTGCTGAGGGTACCGAAGACAGGCTGCAACTCTGGGAAGTGAAAATGCAAATCTGAAGAGAACTGCACGACACAGTCACAGTGGAGCAACGAGACCACAACAACCCAAAGGCACTCAGGCAGACCTTGCTTCAAAGAAACGGTCCAAGACTAACACGGCAGAGGCGTCGGCTCAGAGGCGCTCGCGTGGTCTATACCTGGGGTAGTTTAACTATTGTGGAGCCTGCAGAGGGAACTAGGGCCACCTTCTGCAGAGACCACCAGATAGCAGCAGGCGGGGAACACAGAGACCAAGGTGGACAGGAGTGGGATCAGGCAGGCGGGCCAGCGTGATGGCTGATCAGGCAAGGAGGGAGGTCCTGGAGCACGGGGTTCCCCCACCTCCAGCCACATGCCAACCCCAACTCACTGGTCTTGGGGATGTGCCTCAGGGCACATCTGACCTTCTGGGGGTCACCCCAGAACCAGAGATCAATGCAACATCTCCACGAGGAAGCTGCCCACTGTGGCCACACAAGTGTCCACACCAGCCACACCAGCCCCAACCATGAGGGACGGCCTAGCAAACCCTGAATGTGCAAGGCCTCACCTCTCAAAAAGACTCTATCTGAAAAATGGGAGGATAGCACCCAGGATAACACCCAACACACCCATGGGCAGGGGGCCAGGTGTGACACGGCCGGGGAGCAACCCCGCTGGCTGTGGACAGCCTGTCACGTCCTGACCACACCCGTGCGCGGACAACCAGAGACCTGTACGTCGCTCATAGCTGCTTCATCCCAGAGAGGGAAGAGCTGGAGTGACCCAGGCCCGTGCCTTGCAGGGCAGGTAACACACCAAGCACATGCACCGCTGAACCCCAGGCCAGAAGTGACACCAGAAGCCTTCCCAGTGACTGGGAACGTGGGGTGCAGAAAAGGCCATGCTGTGCAGACAGGGCCACATGACTGACCACCTGCCACCACCGTGCCCATCAGCCTACAGCCTCAAACATCAGTGGCACCTCAGTAAAATTTAAAAACACCAGCTGCATCAGACCTTTTGCACCTTGCAACCAGAGGGACTGGACCCAAATAAAACAGCACAGGGAAGCCATCAGGAAGGACCATAGATACAGCCCCACATCCAGGCTGCTAAGAAGCTTAACGGACGGGCCTGCCCTCTACAGTAAGACACGAACGTAAGAACTCCAGGTTTGTAGAGCTTACCTGTAGAGCTGACGATCGTAAAGCTAAAAATAAAGAATGGAGAGTCATTTATTTATTTACATTATTTGGATTTTTAAAACAATACAGTAGGTGTCAATATTAATGAGTACCAGGGTGTGGCCAGCGTGCTGTGGGGCTGGTCTCCCACCAGTGATGGGAGGCCCCAGGACAGACCCACTGCACCCCTCCCACTGCTGGCTCAGCCCCCTGTTCCTGCTGCCCTCACTTGGCAGGGAAACTGGGGCATGGCAGGAGGAGGGTCACCAGTCGGTGCGAGGGAGTCAGGCTCGGCCTGCATCCAGACCCCAGGTCAGCTTCGTGACCTTCCCCAGACGGCCCCTTGAGGAGAACACTCATCGCCCGGCTGGACGGTGATGGTGTTTCCCCCCAGGGAACCCAGAAGCACTTCATCCCCAGAGGCCACCACCAGGCCAAGGCCCACCAGTACTCCTCCGCCGAACTCCACCCGGCTCCCCGCACACGCCCTCTGCTCTCACAGAAACCCACGGCAGCAGCTCTGTTGGGACCCTTACTTTACAGGAAAGGAAGCCGGGCTCAGAGGACGCCTGCCCACCTGCGCTCCAGAGGCAGGGGCTCTGGGGCCGGCACCACACCCACGCATTGTCAGGCTGGCCTTGAAGGTCAGAAGTAAATGCCAGACCCCATTTTAAAAGTAAGAAATTATGTAGACAGACTAAATGGCTTTGTCAAAGTCAAAAAGCACATGAATGGCACAAGCAAGATAAGGGTCTGAGATCAAAGCATTGTATTATATTCACACATCTTAAAGGACACAGAACTGTTAGGAACAGCAAACATCAAAGCCATTCAATTCTTCCTGAGTAACTGTGATGCTTCCGTATAATATTTAGACCCACAGTACCTGCTTTTCCTCTTCTGATCCACAGAAGCCTTTGAGAATCTCAGAAACCCAGAAGTAGGCACACGCATCTCCCCTCTAAACCACTGGCAGGGGTGTGCAGAGGGAATTGAGGGCCTTTGTGTTTGTCCTCTGTGCCCCTGCCTGCCTGTTGTCTCCCCAAGAACCGGCCGCGTCCCCAAGGGAGGAGAGTCAGGCTGCAGGAGGCCAAGCACTGCCGGCAGCCTCCCACCTTGCCGAGGACACTCTGGCCGCGAGCAGCAGTGCGCGCCTTCTCAGCGCGCTCTCCTATCCCAGGTGGCCCCCCCTGGTGCTGGCTGCGAGAGCAGGGCCACTGGAGACCCCCACCGTGGAGCCTCAGCAGGGAGCTTTACACCAGCTGGGGCTTCCAGGAGGGGTGAGGGGCACAGAGAAAGCCTGAGAGGTGGGCAGCACAGCCCAGATACCACAAGGCCTCAGGAGAAGGGGTCAGGGGCATGCTCAGCCGGCTGCACGCACCTGCTGGTGGATCTGCTTCAGGCCCTGCACTGTCCTCTCGCCCAGGAGATCTGTGGCAGGCCTGCAGAAATTCAAACAGCGGCTGAGTCCCAGGACAGGGACTCCAAGCCCAGGAGCAGAAAGACCTGTACTTGGAGCAGCTCCTACAGACGCCAGAGGGGTGCCAGCGCCTTCCCGAAGAGCTGACCCGAGTAGGTGCTGACAGCACAGGGACAGGGCAGCCAGCTTGCAGCTGCCAGGTGACTGCTTCAGCAAAGAGACACAATCCAGAAGGCAGGCGAGGTGACCAGCCAGCCTGCACGGCCTCAGTGCTGCCCCAGAGAGCCTGCCCACCAGGGGTCCTCGACCTGTTTCAGAAAGGTGGGTTTCGGGAGGCTTCCCGCGACCCCAGACAGGTAAGCATGTCTCTTCAAACTATGTGTACAAACCACGTGGCTTATGTGAACCTGCGTCCCTTCGGGGGTCTGGGATTCTGGTGTGTGCCACGCCAAGGGCAGCCAAATGACCAGCCCCCCACCAGACCCCAGGCCCTGCCTCCCTGACCTGCCCTGGTGGACAGTGCCCACAGGGGACGTCATGCCGGGCGTGCCCTGCAGGGCAAGGATGCTGGCTCACACAATCTGCCTCGAACAAAGGGAGCAGGGCCACTGAGGCAGGTCCTCGGGGGGCCATGGAACCCTACTAGCTCCAGGGTTCTACGCCTGGGCTGAAAGACGACCAAGCCGGGGCTCGCTGGGGTCAATGCCAGCAACTCAGGCACTGTCCCCCTGCCCCAGGAGCCACCTAAGGAGCACGATGCAACTTCAAACACGGCTTTACAGTTTCTCTTCCAACCAGAGTCCAAGAACCAGCTACAGAGAGAACAGCGTGTTGTGTGAGCTCTCACCTCTGAGGAAAAGCCGACTGGAAAGGAAAGGAAATCAAGAAGTTGCTACAATTTCACCCAGCAGCTTCTCCATCAGGTCTGCACAGCTCACTTCACTAACTACACAAGCTGTGCCAACTGGAAGCTCTAGTGGAAACTTTGCCCTATGATCTCACCCGTTCCCTCAGAGGGAGCAGGTGGCATAGGGACACAGCCACTTGGCACATGTGGCTGTCACGGCCCCGCCTAGCCAGGCGTTTGCTGGCCCCACTAGGGAAGTGGGTCATCAAGGCCGAGTTGCATCTGAGGACAGGCCCAGGGAGACTTCACCAAATGAAAAGTGGCCCCCGGAAACCCCGAAACACAGGCAGAGACAAACAGGAGAGGCGTGGGTCCAGCTCGTGACTGCTTCGCCTACCTGCCCTCCTGCATCGCGAGTCCACAGAGGCTGCGGGTGACCTCCGCACAGGCGAGTACAGCCCCATGCCGCGTGTGCAGGTCTGGGCTCTGTGTCATGGACAGTAGACGTGGGAAGACTGCAAAGGACAGAGCAGGGCACACGTCCGGTGAGCACCTGAACACCCCGCCAGGGGAGGGCTGCCGCACAGAGGCACCGCCAGAACAGCTGCTGCACCCCCAGGGCTGGACTGAAGCCTACAAATGCCAAGCTCTGCCTCAGCTCTTGGGGGATGCCTCTGTCTCCCCACATCCCCCCGGGCACAAAGTGGGTAGTGTGGGGTGACAAGGGAGCACGAGGAAGAAGGAAAACATGCCTGTCCGTCTTTCCGTAGGGCAGACAGGACGGGGCTGAGCGCAGGGGCCCGCTGTCCACACACGGTGCACCCTGTGCAGGAAGTGCCCTCTCTGCTCAGGACACAGGGAGGCCCTGCCTTCTGTACTCTGGGGACAGAGAGCAGAGCCACAGGCCCCTGCAGCCTGCTACAGAGTGCAGATAAGGGGCCGTGTCCACAACATCTCTGCCTGCTAAGCTCAGCTTCCCCAAATGCAGCTGCGAAAGCCAGGGGAGGCCCCCACAGGGCCCCACTGCCACTGCCACTGGGCACGGCCAGCACATCCAGGACTCCCTTATCCTGGGGCCATTCACGCTCCCACTGGGAGGAAAGGACGATGCTGAGCACCTTTATTCAGGCAGCAAGGACCACTTATTCAAAGAAAGTCAGTACCAGACAGATTCACTTAATGTGAAAGGCTTTAATCACATTTATACACGTTTGTAACACTGGTGACTCCAAAGGAGGCGAGACCCAACCACTGACACTCTAACAGGAACATGTGGCATTTTGTGTGTCTTGCCCCTGCATCGCAATCAGATGCTCACTGACTCCAAGTAGAAAACACGTGATGCGAAACCACGGGTCCTCAGCGGCCACGGGGTGTGACCAGCACACACCAGCCGCCCTCCTCTTCAGGACGCAGCACTGGGGCAGCTCTGTGCCTTGGCTAAGGCCCATCCTGCAGAGGCTGGCAGGAACAACATGGAGGGCTGTTCCCCCAGCCAGGAGCCCCTGGCAAGAGGCTCATTTAACTGATTACCCTGGAACAACTTCCCTTGTTCCTAAACCTTTTTAAAAAGCTATTTCCGAAATACGCACGATGCACAACATGCCTGCTCTGCTGAGGCGGGCAGACCACCCAGCGTGGACGCGCAGCAGGTCCATGGCACCGGGCCATGCTCTGCCCCGACCAAGCACGGGCCAGCGCTTCATATGCTTCTCAGCAAGATGGAAATGCATTATTTTCAGGCCCCTGTCCCCCAGGGTTCCAGGCTTCCTGCCTGTGCGAGCATGTGGCACACGCGGGATGGCGCAAGCCTACCGTGAGCAGCGCTGTACTCGGGTGCTCGCTGGGCCAGGTTATGCAGAGCCTTCGCCGACAGCTCTCTGATGACCCTGCGGGGTGGAGACAGAGGAAAGTGTGAGTTCCTTCCTTCCGTCGATTCTAATGTTACTCGACTCATGAAAAGAAAAGAGGACAAAACAGTAAACATGATTTGTCACCTGGCCCCTTCGTCCAAGCCACTGAGGAAAATAAACGAGTCAGACCAGATCCTCTGGCTGTGACAAACGAGGAAGAGAGCTCGCCAACACGAAGCCCAAGGGCCACCTGAGCACCCAGCTGCCAGTTCCGAGGTACTGGAGGGCGGTTGCCTCCAAGCTCCCACCCCCACCAGTGATTCAGAGATGCGAGAGCTGGACGGGAACCTCATGAAGCCATCACTGTGAGGACGACCATGGTGAGTAAGGAATTTCATACAGGAGGCACACACCGCATCAGCACAATTCTGACACTCTCCACTCACGGAACAACAGAAGGAAGCCCCCAGGTCTAGCTACTGAGGCCCTGTGTTCCCTCCTAGGCCTGATCAGACCACAAGGGCGGCGAGGCCCCGAGCCTCCTGCCCCGGACCTGGCACAAGTCAGGAGGGCACAGCTGGGAGCTCCAGGCAGAACAGGATGCTGTCGCCACCTTCCAGTAATAATTAGGATGATGACCACGCAACACAGGAATGTACTAAAACATTAAGGTGGACCACATAAAAGGGGTGTCTGCATTTTGATAAATAAGCATCCCAAGTATATACGCTCTAGAGGGAAACGTGGTTAAAACCAGACTCGTCGTCAGGGGCCCCACCCCCACCCAGCAGTCTGCACCCACCCGGGCACCCCAGCACCCCAGGTCCCACTTAGGGGTCTGCAGCAAGCAGCAGACCCTCCAAGACAGGGATGCCTCACGTGCCAAGAAACTCAACACCGCATGCCCGTGCCCACCACCCCCAGACACCAGCATGCCGTAGACTAGCCAGAACAGCGGCGCTCCTCCCATCTGCTCCACAAGCGGTCGGTTCCAGGGGCTTTTCTAGAAAATGTCTCAGCAGGAAAAAGACTCAAAGATGCAAAGTGGGCAGCTGGTCTACAGGCTCAGTTACACAGAACTTTCCCAATCAATGCCACTTTGAGCATTTAAGTGAGTATTACATTATTTCGAAATATTATATTTGTCATCTAAATATAAGACCAAAAATTACAAAACTCTTCGAAGAAAACAGCAGGGAAAAGCTTCCAAAGACATTAGATTTGTGGATGATTTCTTGGCTATGACACCAAAAGTACAGGCAACCGAAGCAAAAATAGCTAAATTGATAATATATATAAACCGGGCTACATTAAAATTTTTAATTTACCTGTATCAAGGGACACAATCAAGAGTGAAAAGCAACCTATGAAGCAGGAGAAAATGTTTGCAAATCATGTATCTGATAAGGGATCCAGAATATAAAGAGAACACCTACAACTCAACAAAAGACAAGTAAGTGGATTAAAAGTGGGCAAAGGACTTGACTATAGTTCTCCAAAGAAGATACACAAATAGCAACATGCGTAGAAAAGACGCTCAACGTCAACCAATTATTAGGAAGATGCAGACCTAGACCACAGGGAGAGGCCACCTCACACCCACTAAGGATACTGCTGTCCAAAATCAGGGAAGTGACAAGAACTGTGAGAATCTGAGGAAACTGGAATCTTGGTCCATCGCTGGCGGGAGTGCACATGGAGCAGTCATTATGAAAAAGGCATGGTTTTGGAGATTCCTCAAAAACGAAAAACAGAATTACCATGGTACACCTTTCCAGTCCTGGGTCTCGAAGAGAGACATGCATACCCGTGCTCACAGCAGCGTGATTCACAACAGCAAGAGCGGGAAACCCAAGGGCCCATCAGACGGCAGGTACAGGTGTGCTGCACCCGTAGCACAGAACACCATCATTCAGCCGGAGGGGAGGAAATTCTCACGCCTCCTATGACGCATACGCGTGAACACTGAGACGTGCTGAGTGAAATAAGCCAGCCCCAAAAAGGACAAATACCATATGAATCCACTTACACGAGGTCCCCAGGGTCATCAAATCCACAGAGACAGAAAGTAGATGGTGGGGGGACCGAGACCTGGGGAGGGGAAGGGGAGTCACTGTTTAAGCGGGACAGTTTTCATTTTACAAGATGACAAAGTTCTAGAGGTGGCCTGCACAAGATGAATGTACTTAACCCTACTGAGCTGTACATTAAAAATGGTTAAAATACTAAATACGTGTATTTTACCACCATCAAAATTTTTTCCAATTATGTTTATCTTGATTTATAAATTACTTTGGGTGAGTATGTCTAAGTATCAGAAAATTTTTAAAAGAAATCCAAGTCAATGGACCAATACCTCTTAAAAATCTCTATTATTAAAGGAATACTAGGACACCTATGCTAGAATGTTTATGAACCAAAAAATTAAGAGAAACCCTATTTATGAACTTTTAGTGATATCTCCTCACTGACATAATCCAGGCCAAAATCAAACAGAGAAAAGCAGAAATATCTCCATCTCTGAAGAAGTGTAAATAATAAGGTCACAATCATGTAAATCCTAACATTCTAGAAAATGTTACCTGCTGTCATCACGAATGTCTTAAACATTTCCCTTCCATTCTGTGATTCACACATCCTAAAAACTTTCAGGTTTTTAGAGCTTACTCTAAAACAAAGATTTCCATAAATAAATTTAGAAATAAAATTCGTAACAAAAAAGCCATGAGGAAAATACAGAAAGCAAACAGCAAAGAGGTAAGTGTAAGCTAAACCATGCTGGTGCCTGCATCACACTGAGGGGACCGCGGCCTCACACAGGGGCAGGGCGCACGGGGACACAGCTGAGGAGGAGCAGCAGGTGCTACGGGAGAGCTGGCATCACTGCGGCAGGGCTGGTCTGTAAGGCCCCAGGCTAGATGGTTTGACATTATTAAAGGGGTGTGTAAAGTAAAAAACAGTGGAACATACCAGGCAGTGACCTAAAATATTCACTATCTGTCCCTTTTCAGAAAAAGTTGGCCAACCCTTGAGGGTAACAATAGTAAATTACATTTTAAGAAATCTAACATGAAACAAAGACAGACATTTCATTGCGATAAAGAGCCAGTACATCAAGAAGAAATGAAAGTTATAAACATACATGCTCCTAACAAAAGAGTACCCCCAAAAATACACGAAGGAAAACTGAGACATAAAAGAAGACATAAACATTTTAACAGCAGCAAGAGATTTTAACAGCTCAAAGATTCGTCTAACACCCTGTGCGATGCAATGATTTGCATGAAATATGTATCTGGCGGTTCAGATGACCGAACACTTCTCAGAAGCACCTGGTCTCGATCTGCTGCTCCTGAAAATGCCTGGGAGCCACGTAGGCAATGGGCGCCCGTTATTAGTGACTCTGGGGCCCTGCCCTTAGGTGCCGGGAAGCCCGACCACACAGCTAGAGGGTGGGCACTCCCACAGCCCCCAGCCTCCTGGGGTGGAGCAGCGAGGGTGGCTGGAGGCTGAGGCAGCTGGCGGCCATCCACAGGCCGATCGTGGCTGTGCAGCAAAGCCCTCACAGAAGCCCATATATAGCAGCGTTCTGCCCTCTGGCGTCCTGCTTTTGTCCAAGAGCTTCCACACTCGGGCACCAGAATGCTTCCATGTGCCACCAAGCCAGGCCCGTGCCCCACAGGGGCAGGAGCTCCTTTGATGAGGCTCGCCCTGTGTGTCTCTCCATCTGGCCCGACACACACCCTTTGCAGTATCCCTTGGTGACCTGCTAAACCCAAGTCCTTCCCGAGCTCCATGAGCTGCTCCACAAATGACTCAAACCCAAGGAGGCCGTGGGAACCTCTGGTCTGTAGCTGGTCAGTCAGAAGCACAGGAGGCAGCCTGGGCTCGAGACTGGCATCTGGATGGGGGAGCGATTCTACAGGACGGAGCCCTTCACAGGGGAACCTGGTGCCGTCTCCCGGCAGACAGAGTCAGGACTGAGCCGAGTTCTTGGACACCTGCTGGTGTTTGAGAATTGCTTGGTGTCATGTGTGGAAGGACCCCCACCCTTCACCCATCCAAACACACACGCAATGGAATTGGGCCTGGGAACCCCGGGGGACCATAGGTGATATATTTGCGATTTTGGTTTTGAATATCTTGTTGACCAATAAGCTGATGAAATAGGCAAACCAACTGATTCCTCCAGGTTCAGTTTACAGGATCTTTGACCTTAATTACAAGTTTGCAGTTAAGCTTCAAATGTCAGAAACTTGCGTAACTCTCAGGATGAGTCCCAACAAGGAAACCAAGAGAGGCCTGCTGGCAGGTGGACAGCACCAGCTCGAGTGGCAGAGACGCTCCCGCTGCCCCACACGTGATGCGAAACCACGGGTCCTCAGCGGCCACGGGGTGTGACCAGCACACACCAGCCGCCCTCCTCTTCAGGACGCAGCACTGGGGCAGCTCTGTGCCTTGGCTAAGGCCCATCCTGCAGAGGCTGGCAGGAACAACATGGAGGGCTGTTCCCCCAGCCGGGAGCCCCTGGCAAGAGGCTCATTTAACTGATTACCCTGGAACAACTTCCCTTGTTCCTAAACCTTTTTAAAAAGCTATTTCCGAAATACGCACGATGCACAACATGCCTGCTCTGCTGAGGCGGGCAGACCACCCAGCGTGGACGCGCAGCAGGTCCATGGCACCGGGCCATGCTCTGCCCCGACCAAGCACGGGCCAGCGCTTCATATGCTTCTCAGCAAGATGGAAATGCATTATTTTCAGGCCCCTGTCCCCCAGGGTTCCAGGCTTCCTGCCTGTGCGAGCATGTGGCACACGCGGGATGGCGCAAGCCTACCGTGAGCAGCGCTGTACTCGGGTGCTCGCTGGGCCAGGTTATGCAGAGCCTTCGCCGACAGCTCTCTGATGACCCTGCGGGGTGGAGACAGAGGAAAGTGTGAGTTCCTTCCTTCCGTCGATTCTAATGTTACTCGACTCATGAAAAGAAAAGAGGACAAAACAGTAAACATGATTTGTCACCTGGCCCCTTCGTCCAAGCCACTGAGGAAAATAAACGAGTCAGACCAGATCCTCTGGCTGTGACAAACGAGGAAGAGAGCTCGCCAACACGAAGCCCAAGGGCCACCTGAGCACCCAGCTGCCAGTTCCGAGGTACTGGAGGGCGGTTGCCTCCAAGCTCCCACCCCCACCAGTGATTCAGAGATGCGAGAGCTGGACGGGAACCTCATGAAGCCATCACTGTGAGGACGACCATGGTGAGTAAGGAATTTCATACAGGAGGCACACACCGCATCAGCACAATTCTGACACTCTCCACTCACGGAACAACAGAAGGAAGCCCCCAGGTCTAGCTACTGAGGCCCTGTGTTCCCTCCTAGGCCTGATCAGACCACAAGGGCGGCGAGGCCCCGAGCCTCCTGCCCCGGACCTGGCACAAGTCAGGAGGGCACAGCTGGGAGCTCCAGGCAGAACAGGATGCTGTCGCCACCTTCCAGTAATAATTAGGATGATGACCACGCAACACAGGAATGTACTAAAACATTAAGGTGGACCACATAAAAGGGGTGTCTGCATTTTGATAAATAAGCATCCCAAGTATATACGCTCTAGAGGGAAACGTGGTTAAAACCAGACTCGTCGTCAGGGGCCCCACCCCCACCCAGCAGTCTGCACCCACCCGGGCACCCCAGCACCCCAGGTCCCACTTAGGGGTCTGCAGCAAGCAGCAGACCCTCCAAGACAGGGATGCCTCACGTGCCAAGAAACTCAACACCGCATGCCCGTGCCCACCACCCCCAGACACCAGCATGCCGTAGACTAGCCAGAACAGCGGCGCTCCTCCCATCTGCTCCACAAGCGGTCGGTTCCAGGGGCTTTTCTAGAAAATGTCTCAGCAGGAAAAAGACTCAAAGATGCAAAGTGGGCAGCTGGTCTACAGGCTCAGTTACACAGAACTTTCCCAATCAATGCCACTTTGAGCATTTAAGTGAGTATTACATTATTTCGAAATATTATATTTGTCATCTAAATATAAGACCAAAAATTACAAAACTCTTCGAAGAAAACAGCAGGGAAAAGCTTCCAAAGACATTAGATTTGTGGATGATTTCTTGGCTATGACACCAAAAGTACAGGCAACCGAAGCAAAAATAGCTAAATTGATAATATATATAAACCGGGCTACATTAAAATTTTTAATTTACCTGTATCAAGGGACACAATCAAGAGTGAAAAGCAACCTATGAAGCAGGAGAAAATGTTTGCAAATCATGTATCTGATAAGGGATCCAGAATATAAAGAGAACACCTACAACTCAACAAAAGACAAGTAAGTGGATTAAAAGTGGGCAAAGGACTTGACTATAGTTCTCCAAAGAAGATACACAAATAGCAACATGCGTAGAAAAGACGCTCAACGTCAACCAATTATTAGGAAGATGCAGACCTAGACCACAGGGAGAGGCCACCTCACACCCACTAAGGATACTGCTGTCCAAAATCAGGGAAGTGACAAGAACTGTGAGAATCTGAGGAAACTGGAATCTTGGTCCATCGCTGGCGGGAGTGCACATGGAGCAGTCATTATGAAAAAGGCATGGTTTTGGAGATTCCTCAAAAACGAAAAACAGAATTACCATGGTACACCTTTCCAGTCCTGGGTCTCGAAGAGAGACATGCATACCCGTGCTCACAGCAGCGTGATTCACAACAGCAAGAGCGGGAAACCCAAGGGCCCATCAGACGGCAGGTACAGGTGTGCTGCACCCGTAGCACAGAACACCATCATTCAGCCGGAGGGGAGGAAATTCTCACGCCTCCTATGACGCATACGCGTGAACACTGAGACGTGCTGAGTGAAATAAGCCAGCCCCAAAAAGGACAAATACCATATGAATCCACTTACACGAGGTCCCCAGGGTCATCAAATCCACAGAGACAGAAAGTAGATGGTGGGGGGACCGAGACCTGGGGAGGGGAAGGGGAGTCACTGTTTAAGCGGGACAGTTTTCATTTTACAAGATGACAAAGTTCTAGAGGTGGCCTGCACAAGATGAATGTACTTAACCCTACTGAGCTGTACATTAAAAATGGTTAAAATACTAAATACGTGTATTTTACCACCATCAAAATTTTTTCCAATTATGTTTATCTTGATTTATAAATTACTTTGGGTGAGTATGTCTAAGTATCAGAAAATTTTTAAAAGAAATCCAAGTCAATGGACCAATACCTCTTAAAAATCTCTATTATTAAAGGAATACTAGGACACCTATGCTAGAATGTTTATGAACCAAAAAATTAAGAGAAACCCTATTTATGAACTTTTAGTGATATCTCCTCACTGACATAATCCAGGCCAAAATCAAACAGAGAAAAGCAGAAATATCTCCATCTCTGAAGAAGTGTAAATAATAAGGTCACAATCATGTAAATCCTAACATTCTAGAAAATGTTACCTGCTGTCATCACGAATGTCTTAAACATTTCCCTTCCATTCTGTGATTCACACATCCTAAAAACTTTCAGGTTTTTAGAGCTTACTCTAAAACAAAGATTTCCATAAATAAATTTAGAAATAAAATTCGTAACAAAAAAGCCATGAGGAAAATACAGAAAGCAAACAGCAAAGAGGTAAGTGTAAGCTAAACCATGCTGGTGCCTGCATCACACTGAGGGGACCGCGGCCTCACACAGGGGCAGGGCGCACGGGGACACAGCTGAGGAGGAGCAGCAGGTGCTACGGGAGAGCTGGCATCACTGCGGCAGGGCTGGTCTGTAAGGCCCCAGGCTAGATGGTTTGACATTATTAAAGGGGTGTGTAAAGTAAAAAACAGTGGAACATACCAGGCAGTGACCTAAAATATTCACTATCTGTCCCTTTTCAGAAAAAGTTGGCCAACCCTTGAGGGTAACAATAGTAAATTACATTTTAAGAAATCTAACATGAAACAAAGACAGACATTTCATTGCGATAAAGAGCCAGTACATCAAGAAGAAATGAAAGTTATAAACATACATGCTCCTAACAAAAGAGTACCCCCAAAAATACACGAAGGAAAACTGAGACATAAAAGAAGACATAAACATTTTAACAGCAGCAAGAGATTTTAACAGCTCAAAGATTCGTCTAACACCCTGTGCGATGCAATGATTTGCATGAAATATGTATCTGGCGGTTCAGATGACCGAACACTTCTCAGAAGCACCTGGTCTCGATCTGCTGCTCCTGAAAATGCCTGGGAGCCACGTAGGCAATGGGCGCCCGTTATTAGTGACTCTGGGGCCCTGCCCTTAGGTGCCGGGAAGCCCGACCACACAGCTAGAGGGTGGGCACTCCCACAGCCCCCAGCCTCCTGGGGTGGAGCAGCGAGGGTGGCTGGAGGCTGAGGCAGCTGGCGGCCATCCACAGGCCGATCGTGGCTGTGCAGCAAAGCCCTCACAGAAGCCCATATATAGCAGCGTTCTGCCCTCTGGCGTCCTGCTTTTGTCCAAGAGCTTCCACACTCGGGCACCAGAATGCTTCCATGTGCCACCAAGCCAGGCCCGTGCCCCACAGGGGCAGGAGCTCCTTTGATGAGGCTCGCCCTGTGTGTCTCTCCATCTGGCCCGACACACACCCTTTGCAGTATCCCTTGGTGACCTGCTAAACCCAAGTCCTTCCCGAGCTCCATGAGCTGCTCCACAAATGACTCAAACCCAAGGAGGCCGTGGGAACCTCTGGTCTGTAGCTGGTCAGTCAGAAGCACAGGAGGCAGCCTGGGCTCGAGACTGGCATCTGGATGGGGGAGCGATTCTACAGGACGGAGCCCTTCACAGGGGAACCTGGTGCCGTCTCCCGGCAGACAGAGTCAGGACTGAGCCGAGTTCTTGGACACCTGCTGGTGTTTGAGAATTGCTTGGTGTCATGTGTGGAAGGACCCCCACCCTCCACCCATCCAAACACACACGCAATGGAATTGGGCCTGGGAACCCCGGGGGACCATAGGTGATATATTTGCGATTTTGGTTTTGAATATCTTGTTGACCAATAAGCTGATGAAATAGGCAAACCAACTGATTCCTCCAGGTTCAGTTTACAGGATCTTTGACCTTAATTACAAGTTTGCAGTTAAGCTTCAAATGTCAGAAACTTGCGTAACTCTCAGGATGAGTCCCAACAAGGAAACCAAGAGAGGCCTGCTGGCAGGTGGACAGCACCAGCTCGAGTGGCAGAGACGCTCCCGCTGCCCCTGCTCCCAGAGCCCAGCCTGGACAGTGCAACTGGACGCCCCCAGAAAATCAGAAAGAACTTCGGGTAAGTACCACCCACCCTAAAGTGGGGATTCTGGACATACAACCTGAGGAGGCTGCTCACACCCATGGGCATTTACTGTCCACACGGGGAGCCACACCACGCCTCTCCAAGCACCACCTCACCTTCCCAGAGGCACCGACACAGTGGACAGCTCTCGCACTACACAGCCTCCCCTTAAAGAGATGTACCTCACGGCCCAGAAAACGCTATGATACCTGGAAACTGCTGCATAGTTAGGGAAGCCAGCAAAGCCCGCTCGGCTTCCAGAAGATATGGTGTCAACCAACGGATGCAGAGCACAAGAGTTGGGGTGGGAGCAGCGCCCTGAGGGGACAGGCAGCCTGACCTGCACCCTCGAGAGCATCGTGTGGGGGCACTGCCACGCCCGGCAGGCAGGATGCAGGGTAGGAGCCAACATGCCAGGAGTGAGGACTGGGGCTTACATTACTTCTCATAAGTTATTTAAAGTAGGAAATCTACAATGAGAAAATATACTCATGGTAACATGCTCAATTTAATCTCTCCTTTGGGGACAAAAATATGAAATCTCATTTCACAGACAAGCTAAGAAAATACATAGCTAATTAGACAAACATGAAAGCCCAAAACCTACCCATCCCAGTGGTTGATCTTCATGGTCACCAGGTGGTCTATCATCGGCTGCGTGTACTCAGGAAAGCCAGCAATAAACGTGCTGAAAAAGACAACATCGGGAGAGCGTGAGGGTGCAGGTGGGGGCTCGCACACGGGGAGAGAGTGTGAGACAGTGGCACGCTTTCAGAACCATCCGGCAGGTTCTGATAAAGGAGGAGGCGCAGAAATTCCCTTGTAAGTAGGCGCCTAAGAGAAATGAAGAAAAATGCCCACATTAGAACTTCTAAGTAAGTGTTCACAGCTGCTTTATTCACCAGAGCCAAAGCTCAAAATGACCTTTCTGCAGCAGGTGAGCTACAAGGTGACCTGCCAGAGCCACAGGACGGCTCAGAAGGGAACAAGCCAGTGACACACGGCACCTCAAGGCCTCATGCCACATGCAAAAAGCCTGACACAGGGCACACACTTCGTGATGCGTCTGTGTGAGTCTACGAAAGGCACCAGCCATCTGCAGCAGTGGGCAGGGCAGTCCCTGGCCCCGAGGCAGTGGGCCTCTGCATCTCGACGAGGACGCTGGGCCGTCCTGCTGAACTACACCTAATACAGGGACAGTGGGTGGACTATAAATAACACCTTTAAAAAAAAGTTGCATCTCTTGAAAATGCCATGGGTGAATTCTTTTAAATGATCTCCAAGTAGGACAGGCCTTTCTAATTATGACTCAAAACCCAGGAGCCATGAGAGGACTGGCACATTCAAACACATAACCAAGAAGAAAAAAGTCTGCCAGGGGAAACACAACATAAACAAGGTCGAAAGACAGCTGTTTTCACAAACAGGAGACTTCTTTAAAATAAAGGAGTTCTTTTAAATCAGTAAGAAAATTGCACTACCCAGTAGAAAAAATATCAGACAGGTCACAGAAAACAGTTCCAGCAGGTGGGGGGCCCTCCAGCCTCAGGCCCACGGGGAGTGGAAAGAAAACCTCTGCCCTCCGAGGCTGCCAAAGCTACACGTTTGCAGCCACTGCTGGAGGCACTGGGAGTGCCTGGCACAACACTTGGCCAGCCTCTACACACGGCCACAGCGTAGTCCAGGAAATGGACAGCGCACAGGCCTTTGGCACAGCTGCTCCACTCTGGTGGCCTATCGGGCATGGCTACAAGGTGGGAAATGCCAGACCCCAACACATGCTTCACACTGTTGTGACCACAGGACACTCCGCACCTGCACACAGGCAAGAGGCACGAGCGCTGTGTGCCGCGTGAAGTACGTAACACATATGTTCTGACATGGAGCCTACACAGAGCTGCCTCCGCTTCCAGCAGCCAAACGCCACTGTGTGACTGACCACAGTGCTGAGCACTTACACTGCCCTGCTCATGCTGTGCGTGCCACCACTGGCATGGACAGCAGGGAGGCCAGCAGGCCACACACACAGGAGTCACGTCTCCAGGGAAGACGGGGAGTGATGACAGAGGGCCCCTGGGAGCCAGGTGAGCCAGGCTGGGTTCCCAAGCATCGCCTGCACCTTCTGAATCCCACACCACACACACGGGCACCAACTCCACTCCACACCTCCAAAGCACCCAATTCTTACACACTGCCTGAAACTGCCAGGTCATCAGCACAACCCTGCCACAGACTTAGTATCATCCACATGTATTGCACAGCAGCTGAGACACAAAGCAGCTGGAGATAGCCAAGGGGGAAGACCTGATTTCACATATCCTGGGAGAGCACACCTACAAGTGTACATGGGGTCAGGAAGGGCACATGTGGGTAAATGTACATGCATGTGTACACAGGTGACCAGGGGTACTAGGCACACACAGGTGCATACATGGGGTGAGCAGGGGCTTGTGGGAATATGCGAGTGCATACAAGGGGTGAGTGTGGGCGCATGTGGGCACACATGCATACATGGGGAGAGCAGGGGTGCATGGGCACAGGTGCTACGTGGTTTGATTTTGGGGGAGTCAGGGCAGTGATGGGTGGGTCTGGACAGGAAAGGACATGCAGTGGAGGCCCTGCGTAGGTGGGCTGAGTGCTCCGCCCCTCCCCTGCTGAGGTGACCACTGCACAGGGGCAGGTCAGAGGAGCAGGTCAGGGAGGGGGAAGCTGCTGGTACGGGGCCAGGACATGATTCCCAGTCCTGCATCACCAAGGGCCCCAGGCCAGCACCCAGAGCCACCCAGACCCTAGGGAAGCGGGCAGAGAAACTACCTTCAAGTGGAGAAGCTGTCTGGGAGCCGCCAGCCAGGCATGGCAGCGCCTGCTCAGGGCTCAGAGGCTGCAGGAGGGAGGGCGGCAGGCCTGGCCAGTGGTGTGAGGCACCTCGAAGGCAGCAGGGCCGGAGGGGCCGTGGGAAGCGAGCAGAGTGAGTGGGATGCTGGGTGAGGGGGATGCCGTCAGCATGCGGCAGTGATGGAACCCCTCCAAGCCCCTAACAATGCCCCCTGGCCCCAGGGGCCCTGCCTCCAAGGCCTCGTGAAGGGACCTGACCAGTTACCAAAATGCAGCTGCAGTGATGAGTTCAAACTGCAGATCTGACCATCAAGCCACATTCCCTGACCTCAAGATGATGACCCTGACTCCCCACTTTGGCTCAGAAGCCCCACACCGACCCTGGTCCCTTCCCTACTGGGCCACCCCCACCCACTCCAGGCTCCCTTAGCACAGTACCCCCACCTCGCCCCTGTCCTCCACCCCACAGGCCAGGCCGACTGCAGGACCCCATATGCCCACCCTGCCTCAGGTCAAGGGGAAAGCCCCCCAGGCACCCTTGGTAATGGGATGCAGCCACAGGATCCATTCTCACAACACCTCTCATCCATACTACGTGCCAAACGCACTGTGAAAAAACACACCTGAGCAAGGTCAGGTTCTGCCAAACACTCCCATAAAATGCAGACCACGAATCACATGCGTCTTAGGCCCAGCTCAGAGCCTCAGCGACAGGAGAAACATGCCTGGGCTGAAAGCCACTCGCTGTTTCAGCCACAAAACTTGGGGAAAGGTGGTAGATTCTCCACATAAAATACACATTCAAATATTGAGGAGACAGAAGGAACACCGGAAAGAGCTGGTAAGGCAGAGGCCTTTACCTGCTGGGAAAAAGATGGAAAGGGTGCCAAAAATACAAATGGTACATTGGGTCAAAAATTCTTTTTGGGAAAGAGGCCAAATGCTGTATATGTACTTTTAAATCTGCCTATGCTGGTTATGGGGAAACGCTGATTTCTGCACAGCCTTGGACAAACAATGGTCAGTAATCACGTTTCTTCTCCCAACTCAAGGCAAGTAAATCACTTCACAAAACCTGTCCTTTACGTGGCAGTGTCAAAGGGGTTATAATGTACAAGTGAAGTGCAGCGACCCCCAGAAGGTAAAGATCTGGTGTGACTTCTGCAAAGTACAGTTAGGGATATTAAATATTTACACCTTGACCTGACTTCTTCCTCATCCCAATAACAGCCTGGAGATGATTGCAGATGGGAAACACTATTACTGAAACAGAAAACGGCAGCCACTTCTAATCCAAGCTTTCATTCTGAGAAATTCAATGTGCTGTGACAGCCCATAGAAGAGCTGCTGCACAGAAGGCAGTGCGGTTCTGGCCTATGGCTGTTCTCCAAGCAAGACCACACCCCCAAGAGGAACGGCACCAATAAAACAGGGCAGTTCAAGAAAAAATGATTCACAGAGAAAGAGTTCGAGTCCAATTCGCAAGCTTGAAACCATTCACCGCCCCCTTAAGAATGGAGCAAGCCCCGCCACCATCAGACTCCACTCTGCCAGGCCGCCCCCTGCTCCCGGCCTTCTCGCCAGCCTGCACGTCCCCACATCCTACAGAGGCGGAACTGGGCCGCACTCTACCTGACAGCGTCAGACTCAAGTCTGGCTAACAGTCCTAGTTCATTTTTAACTTTTCACACCGAAGTTATATGTATTCTTAGTGGACCTTCCAGGATGTAGAAAGAAAATGGTGGAAACTGACTTTTGACATTTAAGCCAAAGAGAATGTTATATTCTGTGATGAATATTAAAAACTTACCTTATAACCAGGAAACAGTTAGATCTGTTACCAACAGCAAAATAGTCCGCTGCAGTCAGGACCTCGATTCCATGAGGGAAAGAGCCCTGAAGAAAAGGCAGGGGGAGATGGACATGATCTGGGTGACTGGAGCCGTTACCAGAAGCTCACCGATCACACTCACACACACTCACATTCAGAACGAAGAGTCAAAACACAAATGGGCAGCTGAAACCATGTGCTACTTACACTGCTCACACAGGACTTTCACCAGGCCACCCTGACCACCCGCCCAGGCTGCACACTGCACCAAAAGCATTTGAACCAACTTTAAAATGTTTTAAGAGACCTTTTTCCAACCACACACCATAAAAAGACACCAGGTTTTACCAGTGTTAAAGCTGCCGGTTGGGTTCAGCCTGTGCCCTGTGTAAGCAGGAGCCCAGCACCCGCCATGAGGACCACGCCTGGCCCGTGAGACACGCGCACCAAATGCCCATTGGCCAGCTGACAGGACAGCTGCTGGGAGGCACTGCGTGGGGGCTCAAGAGTCAACACCCAGAGCAGGTGCAGAAATGGGGTAGTTGGGGAAGGGCAGCCCACCTCCAGACCCTCTCCCAGCTGAGGCGGCCCCAAAGTTTGCAAGCTATTATCCACATTTCTCTGGTAAGACTATTAAATAACTGGGAACAAAATGGTTTTCTAAAAATATATAAATGACAAACTTCCAACGAGGGAGTGAGAGCCTTACAGCCATCAACCAATCAAGAGATGTCAGAAAGGCCTCAGGGTCGGGGCACAGTGATGCTGGGCTGGCATCAGGATGGGCTGTGGGTGATGCTTCTGGAAGCTGGCTCCCGCCCACATGTGGGACCTGCAGGAGTTGCCTCTCTGTCCCTGTGAGGCCGCGTCCTCCTTCCACCCGCCTCTAGCAGCCAAAGGCAACCACTGAACTCAGTGGCCCTCGGCAGCACATACAGTGCTGATTTCTGGTGTTTGTGTGTAAAATTACTTAAATGTTCAGGTGTCCTGTAAAACACACTACTGATTATTTAATACGTGCACCAACACTCACCTGAGTCACATTTGTAAATGAATTGTGACCAGAAGTCACTGGGTTAAGTATTAGCTTATATTGGTAAATTCTTTACCCACAACTAAGTGCAGAAAAATACTAGGCTTGTAGCTTTGAATATTTCTACTGCTAACTCCACAGTAAGCTTTAGGCATGAAAATTCTTAAAAGTGACCATACCTGTCTTCCCACATTCTCCTGGAAAGCAGCCTAAGGAACAGAGAGAACACATGGTGTAAGCAAGGTCTGCACGTCGTGGGGCATCAGGAGATGAACTCAGAACAAACCCGTACAGCACAAGCGGCCCACAGCTTCATTTCTTAAATAAAAGCCCTCATTGTTGGCTGACCAGAGCCTCAAGGCTGTTTGTCATTCTGTTCTCATGTCCTAGTGCTTTTTAAAACCACAGTTTAAGAATCTGAGTTTATAAAGTCAGACACCTCCTGCACAGTGGCCTTCAGCTGCTGATGCCGAGCTTCATGCCAATGCCCAATCTGAGGCCCCAGATAGGAAAAGGGGAAGAGAGCCGAATCATCAGAGAAAGCCCAACACCCAAATCGTCTTCCTGGGATCGCTGTGACACAACACAGCTCAGGGGCTGGCACACACATGAGTGGCGCAGTCTCCTCCTGCGACCTTCCCCAGGGGTCACCTGGACAACTGCCAAATCTTGAACACAGGCCCAAGAAGGACCGCTCACGGGTCAGAACAGAAAGGGCTGGCGACCTTCCTCAGAATGCCGCCTCACCACCCAGCCCTTCCTCGTCCTCTGCCTTCACCCTGCCCTGTGGAGACAGCCAGGCAGACAGGCCGTGTGAGTGGCGACAACTGCTGGGCCTGTGTGCAGCCACAGCCAACAGCTGCCAACACAGCCCGCACCGGGGTGTGTGCCAGGAGCTTTCTGGGAGCAAGGTCAGCACGGTCATGATCCCCACAGATTTTGTTTCAGGTATGATGTCATCATTTACCTGCAGGCACTGGGAGGAGTGTGCACAGGTGGGCAAAAGGAAACAGAGAAAACTGAAACCCAGAGAACCCCAGGGTCTGCGTTCCTGACCCCACAGTATTTAACTGCATGCCCACCATCTCTGGCAGAAAAACAAATGCAGGCTGTGCCCAGGACCACGATCTTGGTGGCCAGGGCCAGGGGTGGGCACAGCAGAGGCATTTCACTGGTGACTTGGAGCAGCTGTGAGACTGGGAGGAGGGACACCTGGAGTTTGCTGTATACCGTTTTGTACCTTGTGCAAAAAATTCATTAAAGAAAAAAACAAAATGAAACCAGCCAAAAGGCAACAGGAAAAAGATGTCAGCTCATGTGACACGTGGTCCTCAGGAACACACACTATTCTCATGACATCAAAGAGATAAACAGTAACAAGAGATCTGGGCTCATAAGCCTTGGAACAGGCAAACAGTCCTGGAAAGGGAGAAGACATGGGAGGCTACTGGGCAGCTGCAGGGACCACGGCACAGTCATGGCACCGGTGGCGAAAACAGGAGAGAGCCCTGACATCTAGGGCTCGGTGATGAGTTCTCAGCCTTTGACACCAAAACAAGATCCATGAAAGAAAAGACTGATAAGCTGGGTCTCAACAGGACAAAATCTCTTGCTCTGGATGGAAAGACGGCCACAGGCTGGAGCGGAGCTGCACCTGACCTCCCACGGAAAGGACATCACACCCAGGGCAGCTGCAGACAGGCCATGAGACAGGCAAAACACCCAAACAATTCGCCAGAGGACAGACAGGCGGCATACACCACCATCCCAGCCAGGAGAGACGCAAGCTAAACCACGCTGAGGTGGCACCACACGCCTCAGGACACTTAACACAGAAACAGGGACAGCTCCTAGTGCTGGGGGCCTCCAGACAACAGGGCCCAATGGCTGCCGGGGGGCAAAGCAGCCCCCTGGGGAAGGCATGGCACTCGCTTCCTTTCAGAGGCAGGCACCAACTCCGTGGACCCACAGACGCACTCCTGGCGCTTCCCAGAGATACAGAAATTTTGTTCCCACAAAATCCCATACGAGGATGCTCATAGCAGCATAATCCCTAATTGTCCCAAACCAGAAACCACCTGGAGCCCTTAATACACAAGCGGTTCAACCAGCAGCAGCGTGACAACCAGGAGAAGGCAGGGGTGTCAGGGGATGCAGGTCCCCAGGGCATGAAATACAACAAATGCTAGGGTTCCCTATGTGGCCCCGCAGGCCGTCAAGGAACCAGGGTGTACAGCACCCTGCCTGTGTCTTGGGCTCACCCCTTGCCCCAGACCCAGGAAACCGAGCCCACATTGCTTAAAAAAAGAGAACTGGGCGGTTCCCCTGTCCCGTAGGGGTGGTGAGCTGTCCTAATTGCTGCTGCTTCCCACACGGGGGCGCACCACACGCTCCCGTACTGCTCATTTAGGGCACCGCCAGTTGCTGGAGGGCCCAACGCTTCCCTGCCCAGAACCAGAGGGCCAGCCACATGCTCACAGGCATGCGCCAAGGCCCCGTGTGCCGGGACACATGAGTGCGGGAGGCAGAGGAGCAAGCAGGAGGGCCGGGGTCCCAGGCTGGGAACCACCCAGAATCCTCCTCTCAGTGCTGCACAATGTGACAGACAGAACACGCAGCAGCAGACAGGCCCACTGACACCGCAGCTGCACTGGGCAACTCAGATGAAATGGAGAGATTCCTCTAACAGAGGAAAGAGGAAAGCTGAGCAGATCCCCAGCAAGTGAAGAAACTGAGCAATTCAACTATTTCTAAAGAAACAGAAACCAGAACAGGTGCACGGAGCTCTCCAGCAACTTCTACCAAACAGTTAAAACAGAAAGGTCCGTCACTTAGGACTCCTTCCAGGAGCCCCAGCTCTGCCACGGAGCCAGATCGCCCTTGTTCTGAGCTGAAGAGAAGCGACACACCAGTGAGAACCACAGACTAGCAGCCCTTATGGATACACTCAACTTTCTCAATACGACCTCGGCAAACCGGATCCCGCTGCGCACACAGAAGGGCCACCCCATGGCAAATGGGGCTCAGCGGCTTCCTCCCTGAAGGCCAATCACTGCGATACTGTCTCAGAACACAGCCAAAAACCACACGGCCACCTCAAACTCTGACAATGATCACACCACTTCCCAAAAACCTGCAGATATCCTCAACCTGCTGAAGGGCATCTACCAAACACCTAATGCCAACGCCATCCAGAGCGGCACCCAGGACGTCTACTCCGACACGGCCCTGCAGTGGCCTCCAGCCCCTTTTATCAGCACAACCAGGCACCAAGACAGGGAGGAAAATGCAAGCTCTTATTTATTCATGGATGACAAGACCCTGCCTGTCGAGACGGCGAGGAACATCCCACCCCAGGCCCGCCACTCAAGGTCAAACCAGCAGCCACGGCAAAGCGAAGGCTCCCACTCTCTACATCTCCCTAATGGACCCAAAGGCCACAGCCCTACACAGCCTCAGAGGGACCAGCCGAGGGCATCTGCAGGGAGGGCCCAGGACCTGGGTCCATATCCCACAGGCCAACAAGTGGGGCTGGGCACTGGAAAGCGTAGGGGGTGAGCTGACTCAGCCTGGGACACAGAAGCCATGGCCAGACGAGACTGGGCAGACCGAGACCATGGGGCTGCCTCGGGCGCCGGTGCCCGGCTTCCTCTGCAGGAAGTTCTGCACAAACTGGGGGAAAACCCTGCAGCTGGCGCTGTGGAAGTTTCCCATCCCCGTGCTCTGGTGCACCTCGCCTAGACAGCCAAGCCACTACCCACCTCCTGCCCTCTGCCACCTGAGCCAGGTCCTGCCCAAGCCACCACCTGCACTGCCACCCTCACCGCTAAGTATGGGCCCTGAGTGTGACTCTAGTGATGCCCACACGTGAGCTCATGTCGGCCTGGCTGTCCACGGGGTGGGCGTGCCCCCAGCATGATGCAGGCTCTGCCAGCGCGTGTTCAGGAAGCGTGGGGGTCCGAGTGCAGCAGTGTGCTACCAGAAGCCCTCACTCTCATCCCACCTGGCCAGACAGAGCAAACAGCGATGTGCCAGAACCCTAACTTTGAAGCTGTGCCTGCCCACGACCTCGTTAGAGCCTCACGCACGCTTCTGCAAAGCCCGCCGCCTCACAGAAGCGCCACGCCAAGTGCGCATCAGCAGGGGCCACACAGCCGTGCCACCAGGGTCTGCGCAGACCACACTCTCATCTGCCTCACAAGCTCCCACTGCTGCACCTGGACCCGGGGCCCTGTTGGGCACAGCTGCTTCCCTCACCCCCTACCACCAAACCCCTAGACACGTATCCGCTCTCCTGCCGACACCGAACACCTGCTTTCAGCCTCCGCAGCTGGGGCAGAGCGCTCCCTCCCAAGCAAGGCCCTCTCCATCTCCACACCTACCTGCCTGGCCAGGAGGGGCTTGGTCACTTCCAAGACAAGGAAGCCTGCTGCCCCGCAGGGGCGCGGGGAAAGGGAGGGTGGCTGGGGCCTTCAACCTGACACTTCTGGGCACCCTCTCCATCCTCTCGGGCCCACCACCCACACAATGTATTCTGTCCCACCAAATGAAATCCACCACACCCCCTTTCTGACGGCACTGCAGGCTCACAGGAAACGCGCCCTGCTCCCAGCGCGCAGCTGCCTGGGCTTGGTGTAGTGCCCCTCACTCTCCAGCTGACCCTGGCTGACCCTGGCTATGAGGACACCACAGCCTCCCAGAAGAGTGGTCACAGCCCAGGGCCCAGCCACCCCAGTAACAAAGGAAACAAGCAGGGACACTCACAGAGGCCGCTCTTCTGCAGTTCACGCTTCGGTCAAACACCGCTGCAATCACCAGCGTGCTGAGAAAAGAGGAAGAGGGCGAATCAGGGAGTGCCCAAGGCACAGACCCTTCCCACGTGGCGGAGGGCCTGCCTCGCGTTTGCTCCCCGGGGCTCCTCACCTACGGAAGCCCACGCGAGCCTATGCGCAGCACACGGTAGCAAACAGCTCATGAGGGTTTGGTGGGGGAGGAGGGCCAGCCTGACCCCAAGGAGGGCCACACCAGGGCGCACCTTAGGGGCCGGAAGTCACAGGGCAGGAGACAGGCAGGGCAGAGGCTGCTCCAGGGCAGGCCCACGCCTCACCGCAGGCGGTGAGCACAGGCAGGGATGCGGGCCATCAGAGCCGAGGCCTGCAAGGGTGACACCCAGCACCTTCAGCACTGGCCAGCCAAGTCACTCAGTGACACACCAAGTCCTGCAGACTTGGCACAACTTGGCTGTGACCCCGAGGCCATGGCCACGCAGAAGGAAGGGCGGATCCCGGTTCACTAGGCTTCATTTAAATCTCTCTTCATGAGAGCATCACACTTCACCTTCTGATAAACCTGAATGCACGGCCTTGGTAACAACAGAAAACAGGACTTGGGACAGGCATGGGTGCAGTGCCGATTCTAAACATGACTTGAGAAGCTACGTCCGTATCAGCCACAGAGGAAACATTGTAAAACAAAAAGGCGCTTCAGACACAGAGGTCACCTCAAAGGGACAGTGCCCGCCCCAGTCCCTACTACCGACGGCAGGGCCTCAAGCTGCCCCCACATCTCCAGCCTCCTCCCTGCAGAGCCTCAGGAGTCCCCTTGGCACACCCACACCTTCCAGTTCTTCTGCCCAGTGCCACCTCCCTGAGTCCCACCAGTCCCTCCGGCCACACCACATCTGTCCGCACCCTGTGGGTGGAACCCGTGGGTGGGAACCCGTGGGTGGGCTCCTTCCCCCTGGAGGGCTAGGCCTGCAGGTGCAGTCAGGCCTCCCGAGAGCAGGCTACCAACAGCTGGACCCTGGAGGTGCCGTACTGCCCCAGGGCCTGGCAAAATGGAAGGGAAGCCACGTGACACGGACTCTGCTGGCCCGGCTACGCGGGAGGAGCCGGTGCTGTGAACCCGGGTGGGGCAACCGCGAGAGGCTGGAAGGGCAGCAGGACCCTCTCCAAGAGCCCTGACCCTGCCAACCCCATGGCTCAGCCTGGAACCTATGTCAGACTAGTGACCTCCCCCAAAACAGCAATTCACCGAAAGCAGATAAGCTTAAATGGGTGCTGCCAAGCAAAAGATGCCAGCATCTAGTCTATATGTCGTGTGTTTCTATTCACAAGACATCTGGAAGTGGCAAAACCATAGGAACCAAACACAGACAGGTGGTGGCCAGGGCTGGGCGACCTCGAAGGGTAGGGGGGTGAGGAGAGGCGTGGTGACAGAGGCCGTCTGGCAGCCCTGTGCTGGGGGCCCACCCTGCATGGCCCACTGCGCCTGACCAGGGTGACAGTCACGGCACGCAGCTCGAAGGGAGCATGGGCCGGACGCCCGGGGGCCTTGCCCGAGTTACACGGGAGGCCACACCCAGTGACGTGGGAAGCTGGTGGGGACACACTCACTGGAGCTCTCCCTGAGCAGGGCATGCTCCTCACAAGCATGTGGGTGAGCAAGGCTGACACTACCGCACGTGGGTGCAGAGCAGACGATGACCACATGGGGTGGGTGGGCCAGGCCGCAGGTGCTGGGCTGCAGCACAAGGATCCATGGACACGCAGGTGGCTGGGCAGCCGAGCACTGGGTACAGGAGCACGTCTGCTAAGACAAACACACACTCCGGCCTCCAGAGCACCCGTGGGTGGGAACCCGTGGGTGGGCTCCTTCCCCCTGGAGGGCTAGGCCTGCAGGTGCAGTCAGGCCTCCCGAGAGCAGGCTACCAACAGCTGGACCCTGGAGGTGCCGTACTGCCCCAGGGCCTGGCAAAATGGAAGGGAAGCCACGTGACACGGACTCTGCTGGCCCGGCTACGCAGGAGGAGCTGGTGCTGTGAACCCGGGTGGGGCAACCGCGAGAGGCTGGAAGGGCAGCAGGACCCTCTCCAAGAGCCCTGACCCTGCCAACCCCATGGCTCAGCCTGGAACCTATGTCAGACTAGTGACCTCCCCCAAAACAGCAATTCACCGAAAGCAGATAAGCTTAAATGGGTGCTGCCAAGCAAAAGATGCCAGCATCTAGTCTATATGTCGTGTGTTTCTATTCACAAGACATCTGGAAGTGGCAAAACCATAGGAACCAAACACAGACAGGTGGTGGCCAGGGCTGGGCGACCTCGAAGGGTAGGGGGGTGAGGAGAGGCGTGGTGACAGAGGCCGTCTGGCAGCCCTGTGCTGGGGGCCCACCCTGCATGGCCCACTGCGCCTGACCAGGGTGACAGTCACGGCACGCAGCTCGAAGGGAGCATGGGCCGGACGCCCGGGGGCCTTGCCCGAGTTACACGGGAGGCCACACCCAGTGACGTGGGAAGCTGGTGGGGACACACTCACTGGAGCTCTCCCTGAGCAGGGCATGCTCCTCACAAGCATGTGGGTGAGCAAGGCTGACACTACCGCACGTGGGTGCAGAGCAGACGATGACCACATGGGGTGGGTGGGCCAGGCCGCAGGTGCTGGGCTGCAGCACAAGGATCCATGGACACGCAGGTGGCTGGGCAGCCGAGCACTGGGTACAGGAGCACGTCTGCTAAGACAAACACACACTCCGGCCTCCAGAGCAAGGGGGAAGGAGCCTGGAGCCCCTACCGGGCTAGAAAGCGAGAGTGTTCAAAACAGGAGCACAGCCCCACTGAAAGGACACTGACGCCAACCTGCAGCAGCTCCAAGGCAAGCCATCGGAGCAACCCGATAAACCCCAGAATCGGACGACAGCCCCAACAGCCCCAAGGACAGAGGACATGCCCCTGAGGGCAAACAGACAAAACACAGTTCCATAAGCAGGGGTAGGGAGGGGGGCCAAGCCCACATGGTGCTGGCCGCCCAGGGTGGTGGACAGAGGAGAGGACAAAGTAGTCACAGAGCTCAAAGCGTCCCCAGCAGTAACCTCGCAGACCCCGCCTCAGCCACCCCTGTTCCAAGGGGGCGGGCACCCACAGGCGCCAGTGCTCCCAGGCCACACATCGCTCCGCTCAGGTTGGTATAGAAGATGAGCTGGTGGAGGGCTCCAGGGAAGGCACCTAGTCACTTCTGAACTTCTGAGAATGATTCAAAATTATTGGATTTTTTTAAAAAGCAACCACATATCTCAAGACTTCAGGAGCTCCGGTGTGAGTGTCTGGGCTGTTTTGTCACATCTTTACCAGATGAAGCTCAAAGTAATTTCTTGAGCACGACTCTAACAACAGAAAGTCACTCCCTTCTGCTCTCTGAATGTCTCATTATGTCACAAACTGCAGCCAAGTGTGCAGGCTTTTAAAACTAAAGGACCATCATCTTTAGCAAAAATGTTTTAAGACTGCCTCTTCTTCAACCTCATTATGGCTTTTGTTAATAAAATCTTAGACATCATTAAACAGACCAAGACACACATTAACGTGACTTTGAATAACCACAAGCCACAGAACCACAGTTCTTCAAAATCCTTGCATTTTATTCTGAGTGTATTCTCAGAATCAGTGGAAAAAGAAGTGTTACGTTTACACAGTAATAAGGCCCCTCTTCTCATCCCTAGATCAATGTCCTAGGGAGAGATTAACAGGAAGTTCTGCTTTCCTCTAGCATCTGACACAAGAAACGTCCGTGTGCCTTTACTGGCTCTGAGGGCTGCCAGCGCTACCAGGAGCTCACATTGACACCCAATTCTTGAAACTTCCTGTTGAGGGTTTGTCCTAAATTACGATTTTTAAATTATGGAACACTACTAATGAGGAGAGAAGGGAACACAGAGGAGATGCTGGACGTCGCCGCTGTCCCAAGCTGGTGCTCATGGGACACCAAGGGCCATCTAAGCAGCCCTTCTAAGGCACCATACCAGGCGCGGGCCGCCGACCCTGCCTGCGGATGCTCTGGCTCCACCCAGGCAGGCTGAGCCCAACCTCGGCCAAGCTTCCCTCAGCGCGGCCAAGGCCACCAAGGAAAGTCGCCAGTTCTGCTCTGTACCAGCTGCTGGCCAGTGTGGCCGCCAGGAGCCACATCTGGCCCGAGCTGGGCCTACTCTGTGGGCCTGGGGAGTTCAGAGGGACAGACACCAAGCCCCAGCCTCGAGGTTTCCATCGCAACAGAGCCAAAACAAGGCAAAGGACAGGCTGCGGCCTCGCGCCCCACTCTTGTGTGGGTGCCGCTCCCCTGTCCCACCTCCCGAAGGCGGCAGCTGGCATCCACAGGGAGAGGCTCTCTGTCCACGTCCCTCTCCCACCGGAGAGCCCACGCTCACCTGGGGCACGTCCTCTGGAGCCCCAGCACCTCTAGCAGAGGCCTCTGGCCTCAGAGGCTGCACAGCACAGGACAGAGCCCTCAGGGCCCTCTGCTTCTGAGTGACAGCAGGAGCTGCAGGCGGTCCACATCTGCTGCGAGACTCCCACGCCCTTGACCTGGGGCACCTCTGTCATGGGAAGCAGCCCCTTGGAGAGGTAGCTGTCCCAAGCCAGGATCTGGGGGATGGTGCAGCTGCAGCCTGAGGCCCGGCCTGGCAGCAATCAGGGCAGCTTGTGCTCACAAATGGCTTAAAACACATTTCACCCAGTTTACCTAACTTCACAGATGTAGGACAAATACAAACAGTGCCTCTGAAAAACACCGCTTTTAACCAAGTACAGACTCCAGTTAATTCAACAAACTGTGTAATGCACCCATGAATAGAACAGGTTTTCAATATTGTTTTCATTTGGACTAAATTTTTAAAACTACTCTAATGTCACTTTCAGAACAAAACTGGCTTGTCTAGAAATACTAATATGTTTCAAATAACAACAGGCTATAATAACACTGGTTCAGTGTGACCGGAGTCCTGGGCTGGACAAGGCTGCGTGCTGTCACCCACTCCCCTTCAGGCTCAGACGCCATGCGGACGCAAGGCACACCCACACGTCTCAGGCCGCCCCCCCTTTCTCTCACTGCAGGAGCTTGTGGGGAACCTCACCAGGACTTCCCAGCACAGAGGAAAGGTTGTGTCAAACATGGAGGGACTTTCTTGTCCATGATGTGCGGGGAGCCCGCGTGTCCCAGCCTGCCCCTAGCTCCAGGCGCCTGGTACTCAGCAAGCACTGCAAAGGGCAGATCTCACCCCAAACTCAATTACTGTTCATTTGTATTTCACAGCAATAAAAAGCAAAGTATACTGTTTGCATAGTGTTCTTGTCATTCTGAAGTAAAAAAATATATAAATTATCTAATAATTTATTACCCATCCACATAGTATGAAAGTTGCAAATCACATTGTTTTTTGATAAAATGTGAGACTGCGCATGGCTGAAACTTCCTTCCCTAAAAAATGAGAATCAAAGCTCACACCAGCTGACACAGCAGTAAAACCCAGGAGACGCCGTAAGTGCCTGTAAGTCAAAAGAGCCACAAGGAGGCTGAGTGGAGCTTATCAGGTGGGCAGATGAGGACAGTGTGGCCAGTAACTGCCACTGAACTTTTCTGGAAAAACAAAAGGGCTGTCTTCCCTCTGGAAGCCTGCCCTTAAGGAGGCTGAGTGAGAGCGGGACGTAGCTTTGAGCAATGCTTGCCATGTCCTGGTTTTTCAGGACAGTCTTGCCCTCGAGGAAGAGATCTGGGAGCCAGGCCCTGCGCGGAACGCTGCTCCCTGGGCCTGCTCTGCCAGGGTGGCTGGCACAGCCCGCACGGGAGGGGCCCTGCAGTGCTGATGTCAACAGGAGCTCGGCTTACAAAAGAGTTTCAGGTGAGGAAATCGCTACAAGGTGACAGCCAACACACATGCTGGCAACAGCGCGGTTCCTTTTGCTTTTTCTTGCAAATTGGCTTTTGTTTACTGGCAAGAAGGCATTTTCTAGATTCTGCACCATTTTAACTCCCTGGGTTTCACTGTGCCTAGATTACACCTGGCTTTTCAGGGAGCCCCATTTACTTTCCCACAGAATAATCACTGCATCTCTTAGTCTGTGTATAATGCTGAGGAAATACAGGTTTTCAAAACCAACCGACGCTGATTCAAAACAAGATCACACTTACCTAAATCTCACTTTCAGGTATTTATACAACAGGACCGGCACACGGTGCCCGGCGTGGGGGAAGGCGAGACCCTCCGCGCTCCCCGGGAAGGAGCAGAGGCTGGATGCGGAGCGGCCTGCGGAGGGGCCGCCCGTCTGGCCCGCCGCTGCACGGGCGCCCTCACTCAGCCCCATTCTGCCTCTTCCTCACTGTCTGAGCAGTGCTTTTTAGTAGGCGTTTCTACTCCATTTATAGAATTACATTCTGGCTGCAACTTTCTACATTTGCAGGACCCAATGAAGACCCTGTGAAAGTATAAAGATACCAAAACTCTATCATGTGCCAGGATAAATGGGCTTAAAAGCTGACAATTAAAATGTGGTCACTTATTACAAACCCAGGGAGGCAGGTCTCGAAGGACACACCCCAACCGATACTTCTGGGCAGGGAGGCGCACCTGCAGCGTCTGCAGGCCCCTGGCCCATGACTCAACCCCACCGCCCTCTCCTCCCCCAGGAGGCCTGCTCCCCAGGAACCTGCCAAACTGGACTGAAGCCCTGCCGGGTGGCTCCAAAGGGCCCTGGCGGGTCTATCCTGGGATGGGCGTGGGGAAAGGGGACGCAAGGGGCCTTCGGGCAGAAACTCCCAGGAGAGATCAGCTGCACAGGAGGAGTCTCCGGGCCCCGCTGCCAACTGGTGGCATTAACAGTCACTTGAGCACGCCCAGAAGTCAAGGAGCTTCAGTCTCCACAGAGATCAAAGAGCCCCAGTGGAACCACACATAGAGCTCCTACAGCCGACATGGCCACTGTCACACACCTGTTCTCCATCCCTCGTGTTTAGTAAGTTTCTTAGAATAAGCTCCCAGCTCAGCAAGGTCAGAATGCTGAACACCCACCTCCATGACCCCACCCCCTTCCAGCAGAACCTGCAGGACCCCCACAGGACCCCGGGACCCTCTTGGCTAGTCGATCAGCAGTTCTTCCCTCCCACACAGGCAGTCACTGGTCTCTTCGATGTCCTGTCCTGCGAAGTGCCACACTGCAGGGAGCCAGTCTCATGGCCAGGACCTCTCCCTCCACAGGGCAGGCTTAGTGGCTCCAAACCTGTCTTTACTTGTCTGACACTAGAGTACAATGTGCCAGTGCCCATTCTGCCTCCGTGGATGCCCCACTCAACCCCATGCTCTGACACACACTCCACAGAAAGGAGCTCACCTCCAAACCCAGGTTGCTGTGCAGGCCTCTTGGCAGGCATGGGCCCAAAGGCCCATGGGGCACATGGCCTGCCCACACCTGGAATGCACAGAATCGAGCTGGGCACAGACTCTTGCCTGAGCAATGCTAAGGCTGAACTCAGTTGATCAGCAGTTCTCTTCTCTCCACGTTGCAACAGGCCATGTGACCCTTGACGCTCATGTCCACAGATGCCCCATGCAGAGAACTATGAGTGGCAGCCCCGCCCTCTGTGCCCACTCTGGACATGCAGGACACCTGCTCTCCAGGAGTTACGGCTCGCTCTGCTCCCATTTCCTTTGCAGCCTCAGCCCTTGGCCCTGCTCTCCACTTAGGCTGAGCCAAAGAGACCCCAGAGAGAGGGAGGCACAGATTCCTGCCAAGTCCACAGGTCTCAGGCAAACACTGAACTGAGAGGGCACGTCTGGATTACTCTCATTCTGAACAGGAGCGACTATTTAAGGAGCCAGATCCCCTGGGCACAGGGGCACTTTGCTGCATAGCGGGTTGTTGGGGCTGCTCAGAAGAAGCAGCACCCACTGAGGTGCAGAGCTGGGCCTGACTCAGCCCATCCGCTGCAAGGTACCAGGCCTGCATCCCCAGCTTCACCCCAAGGACACACCGTAGCACCGGACCATCCAGTCTTATAGTCCAGCTATGGCTAAAGCAAACAACACAGAAAATGCACATTTCTGCTTTCACTGTCTAGCTGGAAGTCTCTGGAAGCAACTTCCAAAAAGTCACGGAGCAAGACAAGCAAGCAACAAGAAGCGCCTCCCCTGAAGCTGTACTTGAAAACAAAGCTCATGTTAACAGAACCCTGGGGGAGCCCAGGCGAGTGGGGCACATGCAGACCCTGGTGGCCGGGCCCAGTGGCGTCGGCGAGGGAGGTGCAGAGCACAGGAGTGAGCCCCTGATGACCAGTCGCCTGGCCTCAGGCCGGCTGTCACCCACCACAGCACATCCCAGAGACCACAGAGACCACAAACCGCCTGTTCCCCCACCCCTCCCGGGGCTGGACAAGGCTACCAGGGCCAGACGTCTTCACGGCTTCCTCGAAAACACCTTATCTCCCTGAGCAGGGGCGAATGCTCAGGCTCCTCCAGAGGCTTCACTTGGATGTTAAGAGTCAAGATGGAGACATACAGGCCTGGCCCACACCGCCCAGGCAGGGAACAGGCTGTGGCCCGCTCCTAGCCCGAGAGACAGCTGGCAAGATGAGCACTGGCGAGAAGAGAACCCATGGCCACCCCCAAGACCCTAGGAGCCCACTCCGGAGGCGCTCCGGGCAGCTGGGTGGAGGGCCTGGCACACCTGGCCCCAGGAGGCGAGGACTTCCAGAATTTAAGGCCCACAGGGTCTCACACTCACATCTTGGGCAGAGGCTTCCACAGCCTGAGCAGGATCCTGAAACCTGCTTCCTCGCAGAGGTCAGGAAAGTGTTACACGCCATGACTAACACAGACCCAGCCACCGTGCCCAGTGGCCCTCCTGTACTTAATGAGCAAGAAATGGGGATGTGAGCTTCTTCCCCAAGTCCAAGGAACTTATGTCAGTTCAAAAATCCAGTAACAAATGGGAGTACAAAAATTAGCTGAAAAATTCACCATACCGGGGACACCATTTGTTTTGCACTTCTCACAAGCAAAAAACACCAGGTCCTAAAAGTGAGACAGATGCCCAGATGCTTTTGGTGGGGGCTCAGCTGGGCCACACATCGAAAGCCTGAGGAGCCAGGCCTGCTGCAGTCTGCACGGGGTGCTGGTCTCACTGCTGGCTCCAAGTTCTCTCACCAGGAAACTGGAGAAAATATGTTTTCTCCAACTTCACAAAGGTGTTCTGCAGTGTTGACTTTCTCTTCAGACACTTGACAGTAAAGCTTGCTGGTCACAGTGATGAATATTCAAGAGCTAGCCCATGAAAACAACTAAATTAATCTGGACAAAACCCAGCTCCTGACAATGGCAGCCACCACCCAGGCCGCTTTCCAGGGTTCCGGGGCATTCCCAGGGACTTCCAAGGCGGAAGCCACAGTAGCCGATTGCCAGAATCCTCTCTCGGGAGAACACACAGATGCTCGGAAGCACAGCTCACCTGAGGGATGCATGGGGTCCCCACCTGTGTCGCCCACCGTCTAGGCCACCGACCACCTTTATCTAAGGATCTACTAACTGTCCTCCAGCCAAGGGCTCTAGAACATTCCTAACACTCTGGTTTGAGCTGCTTGCCCATAAAAAAGGAACTGTACTCCTGAGCTACTGCTTCTTTAAACATTATCCTTTAAAATTACACTGTCTGCTCACTAATGCCTATTTGCTGCACACCATTCACAGGAAAGGCCCCGTGCTGACTGCTCCGTGCACACTGGGGGGGGAGGGGAGGGCGGCATCCCAGGGGCGTCGAGAAATGGATCCCATCCCACCATGATTCTGGCAGGCATTACCTCGAAATAGCGGCCACGAAGGGCTTCAGCTCTTGCGGCTCGTAGGCACGCGCAAAGGCCCAGCACACGTAGCACGCAGCATCCCTGACGTTGGTGCCAACGCTGCAGGCGCCACGCTTCTCCTCGTAGGTCAGCGCCTTCAGGATCACCGCAACCACTGGGCACAGGAGACAGAGAGGTGAGGATGGGCCCCGCGGCAGCATGTGCACTTAAAGCAGCAGCGACTGGAGTTGTGGGAGAGCCCGCCTATATCTCAGCACCAGGCAGGCAGAGCCGCTGCTCGGACAGGACCTGGTCAGGAGGAGGCACCAGCTCACAGCAGTGAAATGCTCTCTACAAGCTCCCCCAAACCCTGTAAGGAAGTGAAGTTTCCGGAAATGCTGGTTACCGAAGGGACACTGCCACACGAGAGGCGAGTCAAAGAAACCAGACCCTGCCAGGCTGCAAGGGGTCAGGGAGGGAGGAGGGAAGTGTCTGGGCTCCGGGAGCCCAGGCCCTGTTCCGTGGTCAAGGGGGCCCTAAAAGACAGAGGGGCTTCTCAGTGCAGCCTGCTCGCAGCAGGGTGCCCCCGCTCTCCCCCGCTCTGCCTAGGGGTGCCTGCAGCCCTGGGGGCTCAGAACGGAGAATCCAGTGACAAAAAGATGAAGCCACAGCCACTTCTGTGTTCATTTTCAGAATCATCTCAATGTGTGTAAACACCTAGAATATATGGAATAGTTACGGTAATTTGCAGTTCTGGTTCCATCTGAAAATGAGCAATTTAACTTTGCACATGTGATTTCTGCTATACAGATATGACAGAATTTTAAGATACGTGGTAAGAGAATGTTTAAAAGCATTAAAACTGTACATGTTTATCTGTTAAATGTATTAGATTCATGTATTCCAAGTACTTGGGAAACATTAGAGACATGTATGTAAATTACTTTAAAATAAAATGCATTACATTCATGCACAGGTTTAAAAAGTACAAGGTAACTTAATTTTATAAATAAACCAAACAACGTTTAAAAAGCCTCTAAGAATGACTATAATAGGAAAAAAAAACAGAATAGAAAAAAGTTTAAGAGAAAGTTTAATTTGTAATTCAAAGATGGAACTGTAACCTTTCTAAGTCACACTGAATGGAATTCTCTGAGAGCCCACGTGGAGAGCCCGGTTAACTGAGACTGCACAGGCAGTGGAAGCCCCAGGCGCTCTCAACAGCCCACACTGTGCTGAGGCAAGTGCGAAGAGAAAACCCACGACTGTCCGTCCTCAGAAGAGCAAGGGGTCGGAAGCCCCCGCTGCAGGCGCCAGGGCATCCAGGGGCCAACAGGAGGGTGAGGTTGCAGCCACACAGCCTCAGGACCAGCAGAGAGGCTGCGGGGAGGCTCCCAGGCTGGAAACAACACAGCAGCTTCCCTCCCGGGGCAGGTGCTCGCAGACAAGCCACACAGGAGAGCGTGATGGCCGCCCACACACGGCAATGACAGGTCAGCCACCGAACTGTGGTGGGAGCAAGGGAGCCACAAAGAGCCTAGGGGCCCCAAGGCGGACGACAGCCATGCATGGCTCCCACCCAGGACCCAGGGCCCCAGTCTCACACCCACCCCATCAACAATACACAGTCTGAGAAAAGACTCCAGTCAGGGACGCAAGAAAAACAGAGCAACGATTATGTGCACATGCAGCCAATGTCACCTTCCAGGACAGGCACCTAGAAACAGTCGTCAGCAAAAAATTTAAAACCATTGTAGGACTACAACCATTATACATACATTTCCTCTCTCTTTTTGCATCTAAGGATTTCCGATTCTATATAAACAACAACAGAAATGGATTTGGTTCTCTACAGCCTATTTTATACGCACACAGTGATTACTTTTAATAAGATTATGAAACATAAAGTAAGTAAGTGATGAAGCTCCAGGCTTCATGTTCAAGTGGTCATAACTGAAAACCCCACATGAGACCAGGCGCCTTCATCTGCTGTGGCTGTGGAGATGCCTGGCCAGGAGAGAGGGACTTGGCATGCACAGCTCCTCCAGGGGCAGCAGCCACATGGCGGCACCTGCGCTCAGAGGCCTGGCAGAGACCTGGGGTACCCGCAACCCTCTTCTGCGCAGGCTGAGGGCCCCAAATTGGAGCCCACCTCTTGCCAAGCTATCACTCCCTCAACCCCACGGAAGCAGGACACCCATCTTGGGGTGTGCCAGAAGCCCCTCAAATTCCACGACACCTGAAATGGAGCCTGTCTCCCACATGTCCCACCTCAGGCAGCCGCCCCTCCTCATTCCCCCAGTCCCACCAAGACCTGCTCTGCCCACGGCAGCCACGGACCCCTCAGGACCCTCACTTCACCTCAACTCTGCTGTAGGAGGCCACTGATCTGCCCAGGACTCACTGCAGAGCAGGGCAGCTGAAGGAGCCCCAAGTCCACATCAAAAGCCCATCCGGTACCCCATGGAATCTCACAACTGGAGTCACAAAGCACCCATGTCCTCCAACAGCACCGTACCCTGGTGCCAGTAAGCCACGAAAGCTGGCATGGGTCAGGCACCCTGGAACTAAGTCAGCTGCGGGCACATGCCCCTCCTCGGACACATCTGCTCCTCAGAGCGCGGTACACAGCGGAGGCTGGTGGAGCACAGATCCAAGGCACACGGCCCAGTGTGACCACAGCCACGGCAGATGAAGGCGCCTGGTGTCATATGGGGTTTTCAATTATGACCACTCGAACGGGGTCAAACCTGCAGTGCATAAATGATTCTTCAGTTGTGTCACCCCAAAACTCCAGTGTGCAACTTCCTGTGTGGTTCGTGCATGTTCTGTGCTAACTAGAAGACTGGTCGGTGGCCTGACAGGCATCAGAGCTAATCGGGTGCAGCAGCCATGGGAGGAAGGCACCTCATAATAAGCACCAACACTGTTTTCCTGAGCCGACACTCCAGCAGGCCACCCAGATGCTTCTGGTAAGACGGTCAGCAATCCGTTAGCCTGGGGTGATCTGCAGGCTAGCTGCTGAGTCCCAGTTTATTGGTGCACACCCCAGCGCGCACTGAGGGGGCTCCTGCCGCTGCGCATGGGCGTGGTCCCCGGCCCGCTCAGCCCCGAGTCACACCCAGAGCCTGGCCCGGGCCAGGAGCCCGGGCGCCTGTCCCCAAGTCAAAGTAAGACGCCTTTCTGGAGCATCACGCTGCTGGCGGTTCGAGGGAAAGGACACAAACTGCTCGCGTGTGTCAGCTGACGGACACCTGCCTTGACCCTTGACACAGGCAGGCTTCCCACGCCTGACTGGCATTCATCGCTGGGAATGGGTGGCACCTTGCACACTTCAACCACAGGTCGGTCAGGTCTGCTTCTGTCTCCAGGAAAGAAGGCTGGTATGTGAGAGGCTGGCAGTCAGGCAGAACCCTACATGAGATATCAGACCAGTGGGGCACACAGGCTGCAGTTTCTGAGTGGCAAGGTGACCCAGCATACCCTTTCGTCCCCAGCCCCCACACGTGCCCGGCACAGTATCCTTGGTAGTTGCCCGGCCCTCGGATGATGTGACTGTGTGTGTCCCTGTATCCTCCTGCACAGCTAAGTCAGAGAAGTTGAGAGCCAAGCCAGCCTGGGCCTCAGGGCCTCACAGCCAGCACCCTCCACCGCCCACGCGGCCAGACTGCAGACCTACCAGATGGGCTGCCACCCAGCCCATCCCGGCACAGAGAGCCTCCCAGTCTCGTCCTGTCAGGCTCTGTAGCAGCAGCCTCTGGGACCCCACATCTGCAGCGAACATCAGGGCTGACAAGCCACAGGCCGCCGGGCAGGGCAACAGCAGGACCCACACCAGCTGAACCAGGCTTGATTTGCAAAAAGTAGAACAGCTCAGAAGAGAAAGTGAGATGACAGCTTCTTAAACAAGAAAACTGGGAGATGGGCCTGTGGGCTACGGCTCCTCCCTGGGGGTGGGAGAGCACCAGCCCTTCTGTGTGAGGGACCCCTCGGCTCCCAGCTCTGATATCCAGGGACCCGCAAGATCCAGGCGGGGCGGACCAGCCTCGGGGGCCGCGCAGGGCGCATGAGCCACCACAAAGCTTCAGGGGAAGGAGGCGGACATGGGGGTAGATAGTCTTTGCCCTGTATCTTTTTAACAAGTCACTACCAGAAAAAACTAACAACTCTTTCCAGATTCAACAGGTTTAAAGGAAACTCCTGAATAGCTTTGAACTAAACCTTTCTCATGGCTCCAATTACATGTTGCATGTGCATGTCAGATACATAAGGTTCCCCAGAGGGCTTCCTTTTGGCAACCCTGAGTCCAGCCACATCCTTTAAATAGACAGCAAGTCATCGAACACCAGCCACCTAAGGACAGTACAGCCTCCAGGAGAGAAAGGGCCTAACGCTCCATGTCCCCACGCAGAGCTTCCAGGGATGCACCAGGGACAGGAGGAGCCAGGGTCTCTGTGCAGTAGAGATAATCCATCCTTAACATATCATCACACAGCGAGCACAGAAGCTACAGCTTCTGAGAAACAAAAGAACTACACTAACTTAAAAACAAACCCCTCGCAAGAGTCCTCCATGTACAGCGGGCCACAGGTGCCCCCACATTCAGACCCACCAGCCCACCGGCCCCACGTCTGAGCCCAGGACAGTGCAGTTCCCAGGGAACACGCTGGCCATGCCCACATTCACTGCAGCCTACAGCACAAACAGCCACTATGCTTACACAAAAATGCAGCCCAATTTGCTCAGAAAAGAAGCCAGTGTTAAACGAGCAGGGGGCTAGAGTTGCTGACGGACAGAACGCCTGGTTTTCACCACAGGACATTTCCAAACGACGGGTCTCAAAGGCCCTCCACTGGCCCGCAGGCAGCCTTGCTGCCACAGTGCACGAAACACAGACTCACGCGCAGCCTTCCCAGCGGTGGGGGCGGGGATGCTGGCCAAGGCTCGAGCACAGTGCGCAGTGGAGCCACCCTGTGCTCTTGGGGGTGGGCGGCTGGCTCAGCACTCACCCCTGCCAGTGGGAGCACGCGCAAAGCCCCCTCCCTTTCCACAGGAAAGGCACGTGGCCATGTGTGTGCAGGAAGCCCTCCCACACATCATCTTGTGAAAAGAACCCACCCACCACTGGCTACGGTGGCAGGAGGCTGGGACCAGACAGCTCCTGACCAGTGCTCT